TGACAGAAGCTGAGAAAAATTTGCATATAAACAGTGCAAACTAATAAAGATAAAGCTTTTCGCTGCTTACATTATCATTTAGGGCGGGTTTTAATTCCCTCATTAGCAGAGTCTCTTTTATCTTGCAATGTGTATCTGTCCGACCTTTTGCTAATATATCCAAGTGGTCCCATTTGAAGTTGTGACCAATTGACGTGACGTGGTCTGCAATACCAGAAGCATGACAGCTACTCGTGATCGATTAAAATGTTCAGTTTTTTAAAAATCGATCACGAGTTTATGTATGTTGAAACATACGAAACGTCAAGTAAATGAACTTTGTTTTCTTAACATGCGTTTTATTGCCATGTTTATCAACGCAGTTTGCGTGTTATTTCTTATTAAGCTACGATGGCCAAAGAAGAAGAGTATTTACGACAATCTGATTGAAGTTAAACGAGTGAGGGTGTGCTGCATAAAGGGTGTGCTGCTCAAGCTAACGTACGAAGAAAAAACTCTCGTTTTGTCGATTTCCATTAAGCCGTTACTCGTTAAGCCGTTACTTAGCCAGCAGAACAGGCCGAATACGGTTTACAATAAATTCCCCAGTGAGGATTTGTGTCACGCAATCGAACCCGTGAACTCCTGCGTTTCAGCAGGACGTGTCACAAAACACTGGCGGTTTAGACTAGCTGCGACGGAGGCCATGTACAAAATACTTAGAAAATATATTAACAATAGTGAAATGGTCGTAAAACCCAGCAAACTTAAGAAGAGCAGACGCTAGGATTCATGGTAAAAGGTCAGCGACCGAACATGATCTATTCTTGTAATTTGCGTTCATAACTTATGCAAGAATTACGCAACCGAAACGTTTCTACTGGTTTAGCTGTTCACAAAGGGTTAAACAGGTATTGTATTTTGTGCTCAATCAAGGTCAATAAAGCGCACAAAAGGTGGAAAGCAGAAGATTTTTTTCAAACTTTTTCTTCCCATGAATGCAAAAGTGGCGTGACATATAAAGTTAAATCCTGCAAAGGAAGGTGTACCTGCCTATGAGCCGTCGCTTTAAGGTCAAAAGTATTTAGCCCTAATGGACTAATAGGCCCTTTGCACGATCCGGTCACATGGTACGGAATTAATTATGCTGGCACACAAGTTACACAGTGGGACTTCCAAAACAAAGGAAAGTCGGGCTGGACTGGTACGAGTTCCTTTGTTTTGGAAGTTGCGTCCCAGCATAATGTGACCGGATCGTGCAAAGGGCCTACTGGGGACACTAAACAAGAGTAAAATGCTAAAAATGATTATTTAAAATTACAATGCTTTAATAATCAGAATTATAATCTATTCACTGCACTGATTGATAACATAGTCTGATAAGTTAAGATTTCTAATTTTGTTAGTAGTTAGAGTAGGGGCATTTCTTATATCTTCACTTAATTTAGACCATAATAAAGAGCTATAAAGGTCCTGCGTATCTAATAGCATGTTTACCATAATGTATGGTATTGAAACGTGGTAACAAAATCACTGTTCCGTGGCGAGTGCGTAGAATCTTTACGGACGAATAGGGCGGAGACGTTAGGGCGGAGACGTCTGGTGCAAAACCGTTCTTAACCTTATACAGGAGTACAGCGATATCTTGCAGACGCCTGGTGACCTTAAATTATGTGAAAGACAGTTGACATTGTTTTCCGACCATTCCTTGTTTCAGCTTGGTATATTGGAGCGGCTTAACGCCGGTGAGGTGTTAGTAGGAGATGGAGGAGTGACTTATGCTTTGGAAAAGCGTGGATATGTGAAAGCAGGACCTTGGACTCCTGAGAGTACAGTGGAGCACCCAGAAGCAGGTCAGTTGTCTCGTTTACTCTGAAGAAAGACTAACACTCAGAACGTCAGCTTTGAAGTCTTTGAAAACGATGGTGTTTCCCATATCACCAATTTCAGTTGGTAATTAGCTAAAAATCTTTTTTTCCCTCCTTAATTCTTTCCCTTCTTCTTTATCTTCCTCTCTCCCTTCCTTTGTTCCTTCCACCCTCTCTCCCCTTATTCCGTCGGTCCTTTTTCGGTAGCTTTTAGTTCGAAAAAAATCGGAGAAAAGTAAAACAAATTTCTTTTCAACAAACGGAAACGATAACACATCTCCCAAAAAACAATTTACACCTGCAGGACAACAACTTAACTCGCGAACATACACGTGTAATGCTAGTGGGTTTCTAAACACATTTTTGTTTGCTCCACCCTTCCTCTCTATCTTCCTCTGTCGTTCCCACCTTCCTTTCTTCTTGCCATGAACAATCTTTCAATTTTGTTTCAGTTCGACAGCTGCATCGGGAATTCCAGCGAGCAGGAGCTGATGTCATTCAAGCATTTACATTCGCATTGGATGATGACTGGGAAGGTGATCAAGCTAAATATGGGGTGTGTATAATTATATCAATATGTCTGTCAGCAAGTCTAGATATCACTACACTAATGTGTAGAGACAGAGTTTAGCTTAGTAACAAAGTGTTAAATTGAATAGAACTGAATGTTTTAAATACAATAGAGGCTACAATTGCAAGATTGACAAGATTGCTTTGTGAGCACCAATAAAATTGTCTTTACATTTAACAACATGACAACACTTTGAAGTTATATGAAAGATAACAGACACAATAGCCTCCAAATAGTAATATTAATTTAAGGAAACAGCTGAGAAATGAAAAAAGCTCTTGCCTACGCGTACGGTTCATGCTTTTAACATTTCTTACATGTCTTAATTTTTATGGCTGCTTTATAATTCTGGATTCTCTCCTGTTAACAATAATACTATTGTCACTTTTATCTTATGCTAGAATTTCCTTTCAGATCGCGAAAATAAACCAGGCAGCATGCGATCTTGCCAAAGAGGTGGCCAAGGAAGGCGGGGTGTATTTTGCTGGCTGCATCAATCAGACTGCTTTCCTGTATTCACAAGGTGCTGGAAAAGACGTGGTGATGAAGAAGTTTAGAGAACAAATCGAGATTTTTCTCCAAAACAATGTTGATTTGATTATCGCTGAGGTGAGCTGTCTTAAATTGCATCTCGTTTAAATTTAAATTTGACGACGATGGAAATGTACTCCAGTGTTTTGACTTCAGCATTGGAACCTATCGCAACACTCAATTTTTATTATTATTTCCCGAGAATTTGACGGTCAGAACTCCTTCAATTTGCTTTAAACTATTCAAGATTACCAAGAAAGCAACAAGTGATGAGCGCGTAATAAAGTTATTTTAAGTGTTATTCCTTACTTCATCTGACGACAGTTTGTGAACTTTGTGACCTGCATGTAATAATTTAAATTACTGTCTCTATCTGGGGATACCATTGCACTTTGATATACTTATCTTTCTAGACCTCTCTTTAAACATTAATTTCTTCAGCCATAACTGTTTTCTCTTCCCTCAGTTCTTTGCACACGTCGAGGAAGCTGAATGGGCAGCAGAAGTTTTAAAGTCCACAGGCAAACCAACGGCCATAACGCTATGTATTGGACCTCACGGTGATAAGAAAAATGTGTCAGCTGGAGAATGTGCTGTGAGGCTAGCAAGGGCAGGTAATGTGGAACAATCCAGTGTAGCTCACATAAATGAAACTGGAGATGGAACAGGGAGTAGAGGACAAGAGAGGACTGGTTCTAATAACCCAGCGATGCTGGGCAACCAAACATCGCATTAGCACCCAGCGAATTTGAAAATCACCTCCGACGACTATTACGCCGCAAATTGTACAAAAGAATGAAAAGTTGCCACTGCTTTATACACAAGCAATCAAGGGAAAGACCAGAAATAAATCCCATGGGACTATCAATGTTTGCTTTTTGGCCGTCCTTATACCATTTATACTGCATTTCTGCCTCCACTTTGAATTTGCGAGCGAAAATAACCTCATCTCTAAAATCAATTTCACCGTTATTATAGGCTGTACACTCTTGATTGGGCCATCGGCGCATGAGACCGGCGTTTGAGTCGTATTTTTTGCCGTTTTCGCTCTTAAGTTCCTCAGATTCGAATAGCCCAACCAGAACTCCAAACGAAAACACCCATCCAGTGCAAAGGAATAGGAAAACGAGCGCAAGCTCAGCACGTGCAAGATTAAATGAAACCGCATCTTTGTTCTGATTGGTCGGGAAACGTTGAACGGACTTCTAACGAGCCAATGAAAGTGCTACGCTGTCACGAAACCGAAGCAGACCCGAGACGCAGACGAGGGTTTGCATAACTTTCGAGGCGCAGTCGAGGGTTTGTATAGCTTTTGATAATTCTCACAATCCCCGGAGTGTTTAGATGAGTCTATGCATATACGAAAGAAAAGTGCTCTATTTCCTGTCGCAATCATGTTTACATGTTAGCCTTAGTTAGTTTATACGGGGTGATGCAGACCATGTATCTTGGTCAAATTGGAATTTTGAAGATGCTGGTTTTTGTGGAGGAAAACCGGAGCACCATATTCACAAGGTGCTGGAAAAGACGTGGTGATGAAGAAGTTTAGAGAACAAATCGAGATTTTTCTCCAAAACAATGTTGATTTGATTATCGCTGAGGTGAGCTGTCTTAAATTGCATCTCGTTTAAATTTAAATTTGACGACGATGGAAATGTACTCCAGTGTTTTGACTTCAGCATTGGAACCTATCGCAACACTCAATTTTTATTATTATTTCCCGAGAATTTGACGGTCAGAACTCCTTCAATTTGCTTTAAACTATTCAAGATTACCAAGAAAGCAACAAGTGATGAGCGCGTAATAAAGTTATTTTAAGTGTTATTCCTTACTTCATCTGACGACAGTTTGTGAACTTTGTGACCTGCATGTAATAATTTAAATTACTGTCTCTATCTGGGGATACCATTGCACTTTGATATACTTATCTTTCTAGACCTCTCTTTAAACATTAATTTCTTCAGCCATAACTGTTTTCTCTTCCCTCAGTTCTTTGCACACGTCGAGGAAGCTGAATGGGCAGCAGAAGTTTTAAAGTCCACAGGCAAACCAACGGCCATAACGCTATGTATTGGACCTCACGGTGATAAGAAAAATGTGTCAGCTGGAGAATGTGCTGTGAGGCTAGCAAGGGCAGGTACTGTGGAACAATCCAGTGTAGCTCACATAAATGAAACTGGAGATGGAACAGGGAGTAGAGGACAAGAGAGGACTGGTTCTAATAACCCAGCGATGCTGGGCAACCAAACATCGCATTAGCACCCAGCGAATTTGAAAATCACCTCCGACGACTATTACGCCGCAAATTGTACAAAAGAATGAAAAGTTGCCACTGCTTTATACACAAGCAATCAAGGGAAAGACCAGAAATAAATCCCATGGGACTATCAATGTTTGCTTTTTGGCCGTCCTTATACCATTTATACTGCATTTCTGCCTCCACTTTGAATTTGCGAGCGAAAATAACCTCATCTCTAAAATCAATTTCACCGTTATTATAGGCTGTACACTCTTGATTGGGCCATCGGCGCATGAGACCGGCGTTTGAGTCGTATTTTTTGCCGTTTTCGCTCTTAAGTTCCTCAGATTCGAATAGCCCAACCAGAACTCCAAACGAAAACACCCATCCAGTGCAAAGGAATAGGAAAACGAGCGCAAGCTCAGCACGTGCAAGATTAAATGAAACCGCATCTTTGTTCTGATTGGTCGGGAAACGTTGAACGGACTTCTAACGAGCCAATGAAAGTGCTACGCTGTCACGAAACCGAAGCAGACCCGAGACGCAGACGAGGGTTTGCATAACTTTCGAGGCGCAGTCGAGGGTTTGTATAGCTTTTGATAATTCTCACAATCCCCGGAGTGTTTAGATGAGTCTATGCATATACGAAAGAAAAGTGCTCTATTTCCTGTCGCAATCATGTTTACATGTTAGCCTTAGTTAGTTTATACGGGGTGATGCAGACCATGTATCTTGGTCAAATTGGAATTTTGAAGATGCTGGTTTTTGTGGAGGAAAACCGGAGCACCGGGGCAAAACCCTCGGAGCAAGGCTGGAACTAACAAAAAACTGAATGCACATATGGCACCAGGCCCGAATCGAACCTGGACCACATTGCGTAAGGCGAGCACTCTCACCCCTGCGCCATCCATACTCCTTTCACAAGTTTAATTTGTTGTAATTTTTGTGTATTATTATTGTCATTAAGGGGCTGATATCATTGGTGTCAACTGTTGCTTCAGTCCCGACATCAGTTTACAGACCATTGGTTTAATGAAAGAGGCGTTAGACAAGGAAGGACTCAAGCCTCATCTGATGATTCAACCGCTTTGTTATCATGCTCCAGATTACGCGAGAAATGGATATTTACCCGAAACCCCGTTTGGTGAGTTAGTTTTCCCTTCCCTATTGTAAAATTTCAGTTGACGGACGGTAGTCCAAATAAGCAGCTGACCTTGCGTATCATTATCGCCACAGGACAATCTCGACTTGAACGGTCTGTATTAGGAAAGAAAGTAAAACAAAAACCAAACTAAAATAAAATAACCCCCCCCCCCCAAAAAAAAAAATACGCGTGCGCTTACTATATTTGTAGGACATGGTATAATGCTCATATCCCATGATTGCTAAGCCAGTAAAAACTCTCGAATTGCATTATCCAATAATCCAGTAAAATATTCAGTCGATTTGTTTTGTTTGTGGACTGAAATGGTTCCGGCAAATTAAACTTTTACAACAAACTCGCCTGGCTCGATTTTGTTAGCACAAGGGCACATCAATCTCTCATTTTTTTTTCTGTATGTTGTCTTGCGTCGTGTTACCATTTTCACGGTCTAGAATCTCATCGTCTGAATTTCTCGATCAACAAGACCGAAAGAATTCTTTCGGTTCTTGCAAAATAAACAATATTTATTATTCACTTGTTTAGCTCTGGAGCCTCGTACACTAACTCGTTGGGATGTGCATAAGTACGCTCGGCGGGCCTATGATATGGGAGTGAGGTATATCGGAGGCTGCTGTGGCTTTGAGCCATACCATATCCGGGCTATTGCTGAAGAGGTAGGACTCATGAACAAATCATGTATGTTAACTCAATTAGCCACTCCCCCTAATGGGGTCCTTGGAGCCTGTGGAAAGAAACGATGAAAGAAATAAGGTAAATGAACATAACATGATTCAACAAGCAGATGGCAGGCAAGTTGCCTGTTTCCAAGCCTGGCCGAGGTACTACTAAAAACAACACCAGCTAGTGGTCCTAGTTGTCAAGTCGGGACAAAAACTTGCGATGTCCGGATTTCAAGTTCTAACCACTCGGCTAAGCTTCCTCTTTTTTTAAAGGAGGCAATTTGCACTCCACTTCAGAGAGCCGGGGAGTTCATTAGAGCTGAAATAATAACGGAACAACCTCTCCCCTTTTCCTCGCCCCACACATCCCTTGCTGTCTACAATTTACTCAAATGCAACACTATTTTGGGCCAAATTGACCGAACAAGCTTGGTTGATAAATGGTTTATCATATGGGATAAAGAACGCATGTACTTGCGGGGAACAGCGCATAATCTCGAGCGCCGGACAGGACAGCGCCATCGTGCTTGCTCGGTTAGCCAATCACAGCGCAGAATTTGGTTCATCTTTCCCGCTCATGAGGCAAACCATATAATAAACCAGTAATATTGCTTTTAATTTCAGCTTGCTCCAGAACGAGGAAAATTTCCTGCAGCTAGTGAAAAGCACAGTCCCTGGGGAGAGGCACTCAAACACCACGCAGTAGCTGAAGTCCGAGACAGGTAAGACTGGAGAGAGCTCTAGAGATCTCCACACGGCCTTTATGCAAATCAGAATTAACGTTTCTTTCGTGTACTCTTTTCAATCGCGATCGATGTTTAAAATGTGAATGAATGTTAAAATGTGCCAGCTCGTCAGCATCCAACTGCTAAGTCGTCTTAAGTCAAGACTGCTACATTTCAGTAAGAAATTCGTTGACAATAAGACATCGTTTATTCGCTTTCCCTCTATTTGTGATATAAATAAATAGCTACAAATTATACTCTAGACCTAATATTCCTTCCCTCTCTTTCTCTTTAAACGGAGATTATCATCATACACAAAGCCTATAGACTGACCAATGAGTGATTTCCTTATTTTCAGAGCTAATCGTGCCTATTGGGAGAATCTAAAACCAGCCAGCGGTCGTCCATTTTGCCCTTCGTTGAGTGGACCTGGACCACCCAGCCAACTACAATAAGCCGAGGAACTTTGTAAAACGAACCTTGCGAATTTTGCATTATAATTAATTACAATGTGCCTTTACTGTAGAGATGTAGAGTTTATGCATGCCAGTCACTTATAAGTCAATCAAATGTTTCTCTTCACTCGCTGCAAAGATCAAAGGTTATGGTAATTATCAGTTATCAGTCGGTCAACTTGATCTGAAGTCCTTCTCATCAATGTCTTACCCGCGCGATCACACTTGACAAGCAATCGGACATGAAAGCGGGGTACTGCTTTCTTCACCACTAACGGACCGTTTTAAAGCAACAATAATGACAATCTGTTCAAGAAAAACAAACAGACATTCAAACGTCGTATCATTTTGGAAAATCGAATCTAACAGCAAAGCTTACCCCCACCCTGCGCAGCGATCCACTGCGCAACAGCAACTTAAGTGTCAAAGCATCTTCCTCAATAACGAACTTTGCAAAATAGCGTTAGGATAAGATAAGATAAGATAAGATAAAATTTTATTGTACACTCCTTAAAAGGTTTTTCAGTGAACAATATAATACATGAGGTGAAAAAAGTACAAAGTGCACTAGTTATATATTATTTATGAAGTACACTCGGTGTGATCAAATCGACAATGCAATTCTTGGAAGAAGCGGTGGTGGGGGAAGGCGGGGGTGGTGTATAAGTGTATAAGGTCCGATGTTTTTCTAACTGCGCGTGAAGCTTCACCCACCATGAGCGATTTCGAAAGTTTTGGCGCGATCAAGTGCGCAGCTAGACGCTATTTACATCCTATCTTAGGGAGAGAAGGGTGTGGTACAAAAGATGGGTTGTTCCCAAGGCATAGTCCTGGAACGCGTGTAAACCGGCTGCGCGCAAACAAAATGATTTAAACAGAAACTGTTTTGGGCAGCTTCTGAACGATCGAGTAGGTAACACCAGTTTTAGGGGAAGGGCGCGTTGGGGCGCAACGTCTGCGTTTTTTTGTATTCCTCATTTAGGTTGGCGCCACCAGACGATTACATACATAGCATAGTTCCGGATTGCGCAACACAAGAAGATGCTGTGGTGCATTGTGCGAAAGGATGTAAAACGTCAATCCCTCTGGCGGAGAAAAGTATCGCCTCGGGTCCAGGACTAATGTACTTGAGTTTTGGTAGCCTGCGAACAGGCTCCCGGCGAGGACGGAAAAAAATTTCGGCGAGCGCGAAACAGAAGAATTCGGAGAGCAAAGCGATCGCGGTGGGGACAGGTTCGTTTCGGACAGATTCGCTTCCTTCGGGCTCACCAGGGGCCTGATCGCAGACGAGAGTTGTGGAGTCAGCGAGAGGGTAAGGGCGAAAACATGCAAAGTTGCCACTATTTTCAGGGGGTGGGGGAGGGGTGTTTCGCAAAGTCAACGAAACACAAAGCGTCAGCAAATTATAAAGATGGCGTTGTTGTCGCTGTTGTTAATG